AAATTCCAAATTTGGGCATATGGAACTTGGGCATTTGGAATTTCATATCCCCACTTTCCAGACTGACATCGGGGCCCTGTACCGAAACCTTTCCGGATGCTGGCTCTACGGCTATGTCGGGAGCTTTCAGTTCCAGGCTGGCCGAGTCTGTTGGAATCTTTACTTCAGGTGCAGATATGGTAATATCTCCTCCTTTCACCTGAGGTTTCTCAACATGGAGCTCAGCTTCCGGAAGAGAAAGGTCCACTTTAGGCATACTGACATCCACATCGACTTTATGGCCCTTGATGTCTGGTTTGGAGAATCCCATGCTGGGCATCTTGAACTTTGGCATGTGTATCTTCAGTCCTCCCCCGTCGATGGTGCCTTCAGTCTCTGGCAATTTTACAGCCTGTGCACCATCAGACACCTCAGCTTTTACTTTGGGAAGGGCAACTTCAGCTTCAACCTTCAGCAGGGAGAGCCCAACTTCTGGCCCTTTGACCTTGGGGACCTTGACGCTAGGCGTCTTTGCTTTAGGAGTTTTGATTTTGCCCTTATCTCCAATCTCTACGTCCAAGCTAGGTGCATCTACCTCCACTTCTGGCACCTTAAGATCAGCTTCAAACTGTGCAGAGGGCAGTGTTATTTCCATTTTTAATTCTTTCTTGGGCAAGTGTGCTTCCACAGAAGGGACGTCAGTTTCTGCCTCTGGGACACCTTTCCCTTTGGGCAGCGAAATTCCAAATTTGGGCATATGGAACTTGGGCATTTGGAACTTCCTATCTCCGCTTTCCAGCTTGACATCGGGGCCCTGCACAGAAACCTTACCAGATGCAGGCTCTATGGCTACGTCGGGAGCTTTCAGGTCCAGGCGGGCAGAGCCCGTTGGAATCTTTACTTCAGATGCAGATACAGTAATATCTCCTCCTTTCACCTCAGGTTTCTCAACATGGAGCTCAACTTCCAGAAGGGAATGGTCCACTTTAGGCATACTGACATCCACATCGACTTTATGGCCCTTGATGTCTGGTTTGGAGAATCCCATGCTGGGCATCTTGAACTTTGGCATGTGTATCTTCAGTCC